CCTACAGCCCTCCCCAGACCCAACACCGGCCCCCCTACAGCCCTCCCCAGACCCAACACCGGCCCCTACAGCCCTCCCCAGACCAACCACCCAACACCGGCCCTCCCAGACCCAACACCGGCCCTCCTACATCCCTCCCCCCACCAAACACTGACCCCACACGATGCCTTCAGTCTTCTATCTGACCTCCGTCCTCCCCTTCAGTCTTCTATCTGACCTCCGTCCTCCCCTTCAGTCTTCTATCTGACCTCCGTCCTCCCCTTCAGTCTTCTATCTGACCTCCGTCCTCCGATGGAGGATGACACACCCCCGCGGAGCACTCACCTCTTCCTTGTGCTGTAGTCAGGTGACATTTTGCAAGGTGTTGATGTGCTGCCCAGAGAAGGCCGGGAAATCAGATCTGGAGATCGTCTGAGGAACAAAACCAAATGTCACACCACAAAGAAAGGTGGGAAGAGGGGGCGATGGGGGCCAATGAAAGGTGAGAAGAGGGGGCGATGGGGGCCAAGGAAAGGTGAGAAGAGGGGGCGATGGGCCAAGGAAAGGTGAGAAGAGGGGGCGATGGGCCAAGGAAAGGTGAGAAGAGGGGGCGATGGGCCAAGGAAAGGTGAGAAGAGGGGGCGATGGGCCAAGGAAAGGTGAGAAGAGGGGGCGATGGGCCAAGGAAAGTTGCGTGTCTACATAACCCAACTGTTAGAGAATTCCTGTGTCCCTCAATGGACAATAAAGAACTCTAATTTGGGTTTTGTCCCCCAGGAAGGGGGCGGAGCTGCGGTAATGTCACCTGAGGGGGAACTCCTGTCCGTGGAAGGTGAGACTCCGGGCGATGGCCAGCGGACTTGGCGGGACCTCAAACACATCGTCCCCGAAGCTGTCATCGTCCCACTCGCTGGATTGGCTGCTCTCGGCAAGCAGGTTGGCCGATGGAGAGGAAGGCGGGGAGGTCACAGGAGGGCTGCCCCTACCCCAATGCCACAGCCACATCACTGGGCGCTTCAGGCCGTGGAACACCACCGACATGAGCCACATGAGAAGCTGTGAAGGAGAGAGGAAGGGGAATGAACATGGGAGGAAGGCCGGACCGTGGCGTCCTACTAGGCAATAAACCACCAACAGGCCTCGCTATGAGGACCCAGGAGCCACCAGGAGGGGACACGTTCCCCACAACACAGGCTGCATGAGGTTAGGGTGCCGCTCCACCTGGTGAGAGTCCATGGAGCCACGGGGA